CGTCGTTATTTCGTCGCGACGTTAGAAAGAGATGTGTACCGTTGACAAGAGTATAAAGCGCAGGTTATCAGCGAGATAGATGTAGCGATGAATTGATTTCGTGATCTGGAAGTACAAATCCATCGTAAGCGGATTTGGATTTTCCGTTTTTGAAACACACGTCGAGAGAAAAATGATGGAACTAACAACAAATAACAAGTGCAAATTAAACAAAACATGTCACGCAAGAGATTTCATCGTTAGATATGTGTGTAAATATAAAATATATGAAAAAACAAAATAGAAATGTTTACTCTCTTATCGTCTGCTTATCCGCTTTTAACATTAAAAATTCAAGATAAATATCATTTTTGTAAATAAAGAAGATTAATTGTAACGCTAGATTTTGCTTGATATAATATACGATTTATTTTTGTTTGAAAGTTCACAACGTAAAATTAATCACTCCACAGTACGGGAAAATTCATCGAAAATTAAATCGGCAAACGAACAGCGACTCGTAAATCGAATAATTCCCTAAACGAATGACCAAATGGCAACAGGTGCATTATGACTCGCACAAATTTATCCGCAAATCCTCAGATTCGGGAATTCATTAGGCTACAAATCTATCGTCTGCCTCCACTTTCACGGGTTTATGCACAGATGAAGAAATCTCTCAAATTAGAACACGTGTTTCTTCCTTCTTTTCGTTCTCTTTCTCTCTCTCTCTCTCTCTCTTTTTCTATTGAATTATAACTTTACAAAAGTCGCGTTAAATTATGTCGCAGAGCCATGTTTTTAATACAAATATATCATTTGTACAAAAAATATAGGTACACATACATCTCATTTGTAAAAACCGAGTCTCTCTCTCCGAAACAAATGCGCTTAGTAATCGGTTTGGTAGTTGAAATAAATGTAAGCAGAGACGAGAGAAAATATATTCTGCTTGCCAAATTGTCGAGGAACATATCTTATGTTGTCACGTCAAGCGTCATCGAGCGAAATGAGCTCAGTCCAAGACAACAATGAAATTTCAAACAGAACTTTCTGAGAATCAGTTCAGGAAAGCACTCGCTTTTGTAAGAGAGAGAGAGAGAAAGAGAGAGAATGTAATAGATCGAAAAGGTATTTGCTAGATTGCGTTATCTGTGGATTTGCGTGCCGATACTCTTGGCTTATTTTTTCAAAATTTTGTTTTTTTTTATCTTCTTTTCTGAGAGATTATAAACCGGCGCGCACATAATGTCTTCTCGTTACTATAATGCGTCACCTCTTAATTCTCACAGTCGCATCCATCTTATCTATCTATTTTCGCTTTTCTCTTCTCGCCCGCAATGTCTCGTCCAATAACAAACGATGCGTTCTTCAAAATAGAGAATATCTCGGCGTAGTTTTTTTGCAAAATATAGATAAATATCACATTAATAGTATATATATAATATAAATATATATATATATATATATATATATATATATTTTTTTTTAAATATATTTTTATAATAATATTATTTTTATAATACTCACATATTTATATGTTGTTGCAAATATTTAATTTACTTATTTCTCTTAAAATATATATAAACGTCTTTCATGATTAAATTTATATTTTATCATAACAATTGCATAAACTAAGAAATAAGTAGCGCGGCATTCTTCCAATATCCGCTCGACGTTGCGACTAAAACTGGCAAGAAATCAAACGTTTCGCGACCGAATGTAACAGGTGGTCGCATTCGATTTACTAGCCGGTCTGAGTCAACGGACGCGATCGTTTTGATTAGACGGAGACAAATGAGTCTGCGGAAAATGCGAAAGATGGATTCGATCAGTCGGCAAGTTGCTCTCGAATTGGAAATAGTTTTCCGTTCCACTTGCATTCAACGTTTTACTTATATTCGCTAGAAAATGGTTAGCTAGAGCTTTTGATAAGATAGAATCGATTTTGTCAAGCGAAAAACTTTATTAAATATTCGTCAACTCATTCATCTTCGGTGCGTTAGCAAAATCAACCGGATTAAAGAGAAATAGCTATTGAGAGCTACGAGAAATATTATTCGAATATTTTGACACACGTGTGTAAATGACGGTGCACGTTGAATGGTGCAATACCGTGCATGGCTAATGCAATTCCAATGAAAATACATTGACAGGGGCAATTACAAGCCACGCCCCTACAGATTTCCGATAACCCCGCGCATTTTTAGACGCGCGTTACGAGCGACATTAAAAAATACCAACTGCTGAAAAAGTGACGTCATTGACGAGAAACAAAACATTATATTATGAAGAAAAACGTACAGATATTTTTATCGTGCATAAGACCTGCTGCTTTCCTCCACGTCATATTTTTTGCCAGTCATGAGCATTTTTTGTTAAATATTGAGTTACAAAGTAACGTGCGCAAAATGTCAATACGGTAAACGTAACACGTTAATTCGATCGGGACGGAAAATCTCCGGTTGAACACTGCAGAGCAGTGAATCGATTCCACGGCAGAAAAAGGATTTTCTTCTTCTATGCGCCGTTTTTTGTTCCAGGAGTCGACCATTCAACAGCAGCAGCTGAAAGAAAGACTGTGAAGAGAGACTGTGCAGAAAGAAGAAAGCTCATCTCTCGCGGAACCGATTCAGCAACTTGCACACGCAAATCGAGCTTTGCGTGCTGACGTAGTTCGGCAAAACTCTGTTTCCGATTACGAAACAAACGGAAGAGTCGTTAACTTGAGCTGATTGCATCAGAGTACAGATTGCATGGGGCTGTCAAACTATTTGTATCAATTTACAAGCAAGCGGTGTGGCGGGCGATATAGCACGGAAATTTCGAGGAATCGTTTAATTTTCTCCGTGGGTCAGAATAGCATTTCACCGCTGTAATACATATGTATATCTTTCGACTCGAATTCATCATCTTCGCCCGGAAGGCACGTTTCCCTTCTCTATATGCGCGCGCTAACTTTCCGAGAAGATTACGGCGAGCAAACGATTTGATTTAACTGTAGCCGTCTTTCACTTCGACGTGAACTCAAACGTTAACTTGCGCACCGCATCCCACTTGTGTTCCGAGAGCGATTAGAGAGAACATCTTATCCGATTATACAATGCAAGAGCGAGTAGATGTTACTATTTTTGTTTACGTTATTTATTATACATAGGGACTATACATATTTTATTTATAAGCGATGGAATATATATATATATATATTTTACGTAATTTAATTAAATTAATTATTTTAAATTATTTTCAATAAATTTTTACTCTATAACGTTATGTTTTGTAACTCTCAGATCAAAAAGATCAAAGTTTTATTTTTGTACAGATTAAAAATTTAAATTACGTATTATTACTATTATCATTGTATTATTACTATTATTATTATTTTATTTGTATTGATTTTAAAACTCCACCGATGAAATTTATTACGCGACGCTCTGGTCTTCAATTACCGCAAGTTTTGCCATCGATGTAATAATGGTGTTTTCGTAATCCGCCACGGTTAATCGGCGCGTAATCGATATTACCTTGGGGATTAAACTAACTCCCCGATGTCACAATCACTTGCTATATGAGATCAAATTTGTTCGTGCCTGTCGCAAAACAATCAATTTTTCCGAACACACGTTTGAACGAATCGATTCTTGCCGCAGACTTTTTGCCAACGAAGATGCTGCACATCCATCTCCATTCACGTCAGAACACGTTATTATCAAACGCATGCCGCAGACATATGTGTATGAGTAAATGTATTTCACGCGCGTTCATTGGCTCATCGAACTCGAGTTAGCTTCACGCTGCGTAGAGCCGCCGCGTCGACGTCACACAACCATAGCTACTCTATTTTCGCTTATCTCGGCTCCATCACGATCTCCTCTCTACTCCCGTTGAATCTTTCTCTCTTTCTCTTTCTCGTTCGTGTATTTCTGGCTTCGGCTTCGCGCGAAGTACAAATGAGAGGCGGAACCGAAGAAGAAAACGCAATTCGAAGTACTTTAGTTAAATTTATTCGCGTTTTTCCCCCGTTTCTTTTCCTCCGTATACAAATTGCATCAGACTTTACAAAGAACCGCGACGCGGTTTCAGGTACGCGACGTTCTCTCTCAGTTTTAGTGAAATTTATGGTATTGTATCCGGAGATTCGCAGAAATTCGTCTCGAATGAGAGGATAAATTTGTTTCTGCTTTTCTCGTATATATTTTCAAGTAAATTTTATTTTCTTAGAACATTAAGATTTAAAGCTAAAATGTCATTTCAATGAAAACCTCATTTGACGAAGTGTAAAGAATATTTTATCATGGTTTGCGAAATGTCGCGAAGGACAGTTTGACCGGACGATCGATTCGTCCGAAAATTGTGTACACAATAAAACTATCGAAAAATTCAACATTTGCCTCGTTCGCGTAGTTACTGATGATATTGTGGAATTAAATCTGGAATGTTCAATGCCGGGAGTTGTCAATAATTTGCAAAGTGTATTACACGCTAAAAAAAAGTTTCACATTGCTGTTCAGCGCAAATGTCGATAGTTTATGAAATGTTTGGGAAACCACATGATGATAACAGAAAAACCAGAGAGAGAGAGAGAGAGAGAGAGAGAGAAAATATATAAAGATATAAAATTCTGCGGAAAGTTGTTCTAAAAAAAACCCTCTCTTGACGTTAAATATTGCGAAATTCAGACTAAATACGCTTCGAATATAATTCCACCAAAGTATGGCGCCTACGGTATCTCAAGAAAAATAAATTCACGTAATAGTCTGATTTCAACAATATCATGTACGTGACTGTTTATAAATTTCAAGATTGAAAGTTTCTCTAAATCTCGAGTGCTGTATTAAACATCAGCGAAAGAGAGATCATTGAGAAAGAGAGAAGGATCATTGTCGTGTGCGAACGTTCTTGACTTGGAAACAAGGTTACGTTTCTTCGATATTTCCGCCAAGAGAAATGGAGCGAAAACGTTTCCCACAAATGGCTACATTTATAACAAACAGGAAAGTGTTGGGAAGTGATTTCCTGACCTTTACTGGTGAGGCTGAAGCTACGGAGTCTGTAACTATCTTCGTCCTCGCCGTCCTCCCGTGCCGGCATCTGAGACGAGACGTCCGGCACGTCCAGGAAGGCGTTGCTCTTCCTGTGATGCGTGTGATGCATGCTCTGCCCCCGTCGACTCCCCCGTCTTCTGATTCCCGGACTGACGTCATTCTCGGACAGTTTGGGTTCGCTGCTGCAGTGAGCCGACTTCATGGTTCCCTCGTGGTGATGGTGGTGATGATGGGCAGCGGCTGAAAAACGGTATGACGTTTCGCTGTATTCACGCATGATTTGATCGTAAAATTATATATCTAACGCGGGAGAGTTTCCAACATCTCTCGTTTTGTAAACCTTCCCACTGAGACCTACGTGTTGCGTATCCCAAGGTGCAAACGAGAAAAAAAGAGATGTGAAGAAGCGAAAAAACATTTCTGCATTACAAATGTTATTTTTTATATTATGTTATATTAGCTATATATCTCTTGAACCTTCGAGTACCTTTTCGTATCCTTCATGGATACTCGCATTTAGAAACTCCTGACCTAATTGTATAGACATTGTCAAAAGCGTACTTTTTAGCATGATTTCTGATAATGTACAAGCTTTCTCGTTTAATATCAATGTTATAATAAAACATGTAGCAATAAATTAAGCCTGCCTTTCATCACAAATAATTCGATATATCACAGATTTTTGTATAATTAATAAAAAAACTATAATTTAATATTTATATTATACTCATATGTTGTATCTTATTAGGGATATTGCGACAAAATAATATAAAATATTCTTGTTAATATTAATAATCTATAGGGTTCTATTATTAATATAAAGTTAATAAAACAAGAAATGATTTAAAATATCACAATTTACGAAAATGTTTGAACAAAAATATACACGTACATTTTACGTATCAGAAAACACGGATTTGATTGAATAGTAAAACCGTATTTTTTTGTATTTTGCTGAAATTATTTTAATTGTCAATTAAGCTCTATCTTGCTTTGTTTACGCATGCAAATACCACGAATTATTCCTGCGAAACATTCTAGTCTCTTATCGATGCGCCTGTCCCGTGTTACAGCATGTAACTGAGAGACACGACAGCAACACTGTGCCACGGCAAACTTAGAGACGGGGAGCTAGTTTCTAAACTTGCGAAGACTCGCGACGGCGAGACGTGTTTGGGACTGTCAGTGACCTACTAGCCAAACCTACGTACGAGAATAGCAGCCGCAATGATTTCAAGAACTCTCGCGAGACCGGAGCGGCGCGTTTACCGGTGCACATCGCACGTGAGAGTTCGGGGGTATATACACTTTTGCTCTTTCACCGAGAGGACAATCATGTACGTCACCGCGATGACGTTTTCACTGACTTTATCGGGCATTTTCGTCAAAGTCTCACGCCCGGTCGTCGTCGTTCCGTCACGCAATCTCGTCGTATAAAATAGAATTCTTGAAGATTCCAATCTCGAGTGGCAAAAAGAAAAAATATCCCAATCGGCAAAAATAATCTAAGCATGCAAAATGATCGTTTGACAACAACACGAGTCACTTTGACTCGATGCTGAATATGTTTTTAAATAACCCGGAATTGGGGCAGTTCGCAAAACGTTCGTAAAACGTGGGTTGCTTCGAAATAGAGCAACGTGTAAAGAATCGATCAATTTTTAATTTAATTTATAAATTCAAGTCTCAAAGATTTAATTTGATTGCTTTCTACATTTGTTGCTTGTTTAACAAGAACTTTTAACAGTTTTACATTAATTATTTGTAATGATCTTTGAAGAAAGTTTTTCGAAATGTGTGTGCTCGACAAAATAAAACAATATATATAATACACTTAAAAACTAAAGGTTCAAAATTAGGGTTAAATTAAATATTACTTAGATAAGGTAAAGTAATTATCGCGATATAGAGTGTTTCTTCGTTATTAAAACAAGTTGTACGAAACGGGGATTTCCGAAGCTTTACGCTCCCGGACCTCATGATGAAAATCATGAATTCTAATCGGGTCGTGCAATCCCACGCAACTCTCTACTTATTCCTGTTCCCGACATTGCTATCGTTACCTTGAGCAGTGGCGCGACGGCGGATGCTTTTATTTCCGCCGGTAACACGGGCGCTCTGGGATCTCGTAGCCGGCCTTCGTCTCCTCGTGGGTGTACTGTTATCCGGTGTGCCGCTCCCGCTGTCCCTTTCTCGTTCCCGTTCGCGTGCTCCCGAGGGTGGCATAGCGTCCAACATTTGTTCCATGCTAGAGAATCCCGGGGCGCAGATCGACGCCGATCTGGTCTTCCGACGGAGCGAATCTTCCGCCATCTCTTCGAATTACCACAGCTACCACTTTTTTAACCCGAAAATACCAATCACGATTCAAATTTTTATATTAACGATCGTCTTTCTCTGAATTTTTGACTTTTTTATCCAATTCTTCGCGAGATGAGAGAGAGAAAAAAGATTGTAGAATTTTTAGATTTCACTGCAAAATCACAAGACACGACGATATTATTCGACTTATGTCGGGCACTGATTTTCTTTTTTTTTTTTTTTTTTTAATGTTTTTTTGCACTGATACACGCAAGCGTTTGTGTATCACAGCTGCGTTGTATTCCTTATTCGTGAAATCTTCCTGTTGTTTTATGGAAGTTCTTAGCGAAAAAACTTTGTGTATTTCCGAAATGTCTTTCCTAATATCACAAAACTTTTTTTTTAAGACAGACTATTTGGCCAAGACACGCCACGTACTCGAGACCAAATGATATCTTCGGACACGTGAGATCGTCACGGATCCGGCGTCTCGTCGACACGGACCGTGCTTTGTCCCAAAGAGAACTTTTCTTCTTGATTCTACAAATAAAATATAAGCACGATTGTTGTAAGTATGATTGTTTTGTTTTCTTCCACATGCTTGCGAATGAGTCGCAATATAATTGTACCAGTGATAAATTTATATTCTGTTACAATTATAAATTTTATTTCTACGTTTTACGAAGCTCATTATGATTAATATTTAAGCAAACGGAAACGCGCGTTTTGCTTCCGATGATGTGATAGAGATCGATGTCAATGTCAAACAGGTAGTTGGCAGCATTCGAAGTTACACGAGACATGACGTAGTCAGAGAGACTACCTCGCAGGTTGTCGAAGCTGTCGAAGTTATTAAACAGTGAGCACGCAATACGTTGGGAAGATATCGTTTCGCGAAGACGTTCCGACATCTATAATCGAGTATTGACAAAAGGTAAGCTCGCTCTGCCTGAACCAACTTCACGCGACATCTTATTAATGTATTCTCCTTTCGACGAAGTCCGCCTGACACAGTAATTTATTCCGAAAGTACAGAAGAGAGTGCTGAGGAAATTAAATGGCTTGTTGTTGAACAAACTTTCAAATAAACTTTCCAGTTCGACAAGCAAAAACCTAGCAATCATATTTATATATAATTTAATTATTTAAAAACATCTGAAAACTACGTTTTCGAAGACCTTTAATGAAAATTACGTTAAAATTTCTTGTAAAACTAAAAATGAAAGAAACTAAATGTAAAGAAATATATTGTCAGCGCAATATATGTAATTTTAAACAATTTTTTTTATTCACGAGAAACTTTTTTCTTTTGCAAAGAAAGTATGTGTCTCCTTTGTGAAACAATATACGGCACGCGAGAACGCGTTTAGCGGAGACTGTAGGATTAAGTAGAGGAACTCAAGCTTTGTCTCTTCTTACTGACAAGAGTGAGAAAAGGTCTCACGTATATACTAGGTTTTACCTCGACATTGTGCGTTAAATCGATAGCTGTAAATGCTTTAGATATTCACGCATCATAACTCTACACTGTAACATCAAAGTTGCAACTATGGCAAAAAGTGTCGTAAAAATTACATGTGCGCCGCTCTTACTCTCGGTATTTTTATTTTTATCGTTATTTTAACTACTGCTTTATTGTACTCCAACAAATGAGTCTTTAGAGCTTACGGCAAATACAAGTGCATTAAAAGATAATGAATAAGTTGAATCACAGTGTTTTAGTTCCATTTATAATATGCTTATAATTGATATGCTGCGATTCTCACAGGCATAAAATCCATTATTGTTTATTATTTAAAAATAATTGTCTTTTACGTGGAACAGCCATTACAAAAATGCTTTGATATTTTAACAGAAACAAAAAATTAATTCTCGAGTAAAGTGCACATATAACGCATTTTACTTATTTATCTTTTTATTAAATTTTTCTGTTATTTAACTCATCATGAAAGGGTTAAGAGCAACACAACTAAACGTCCTTATGCCCTTCGAGAATTTCAAAGTCGGAGCATCGGTTTTTCTCTCTCTCCCGCGTGACAGAGTCACTCTCTTCGTCGGCTTATTTTTCCCGGGGGCTAATTATAGATCGTTTCTAATAAATCTTCTCGATGAGAGAGAAGCATAAACATCTCTCCGCCGATATATTCCCCTCGTATGTTCGCCTCACTCCCCCAAGAGAGCTTCGTCGCGGCCGTAATTATCGCCCTTTTTTGATATAAACGGCTTACCTTTACCCTTTAACCGCGATTATATCGTATCTAAGGATGCGTTTCGCGCGCTTCTTTTCCTTCGTCTTGAGATAACGCGATATCTTCCCGTTTCTTAAGAATCTCACCGAATTGATTTGCAATATACGTTCACTTATCGATGCTTACCATTTTCTTAGGCCGTTGACAAGCGCGGTCGGATCTTCCTCGATCATTTTTTCCACCTTATTATCGTCTTCCTCTGTGCAAATCGCGATTCGCAAATTGAATCACATGTCTCTCAATTGTTCGCACGCGAGACGTGAACTCAACAACACGATGCACGTCCGACGATGCGCGGCACACTGAAAGCAGCTCAGCGTCGCGCCGAGCGGGAAGCGGCGCCGCCACACCAGGCGTCGGCGTCAACTCTCTTGCCTCGTCACCGACGACGACGACGACAACAACGACGACGACGACGACGACGACGACGACGACGACGACGAAAACGATGACGATGACGATATAAAGTTGGCGCACGTTCAACACTCCGTACATTGCGACTTTCAACTTTTTAAACAATTCTCGCGAACGCACGAGATATTTCGCTGAGAATCACGAGTCAGTATCTAGCAACGTACTAGTGATACGTTAGCATTATCAAAACTATATCTATTTCTACCGAAAATCAATAACTTGTTTGTGAAAAACAACCATGTTCACGACTTTTTGATATTAAATAAAATAACAATTATATAAAAGTTTTCTATGTGATAATAGCACCTATCTAATTCTATGTAGAAAATATTTCTCTCATATATTTTCTATTATGATACGAGATGTGATATTTTTCTATCAACTGAGTCAGAATGTGTTTTGCACACAGAAAGAATCACTATCGCAATTTTGAAGTCGGATGTAATATCGAGAAAAACGTAAAAGAAAATGTATTTTCGGAAAAGATCGAAATTTTGGTTACGAATTTACAAAAAAGTTTTCACAGTTCGCATGCGCTCTAACGAACTTCATAAAAACTTCATTTTCATTAGATCAGTGCGCGATAACTTTACATGACTGTCAACTTTTTAATAAAAAAAGTTTGTACTTTATTTTGCCATAAAAACTGTCTCACTCTCTCTTCTTTTTTGTTTGTTGTCTTTATGGAAAATAAATGTAAGAGAATCTATGATAAAGTCATCTTGGTAAAAATAAATCTCTGTTTATAGAGAAGTTGTGGTTTTACAGAGAATACAACTTCTCTCAAATAAAAATTTACATACTTAAAAATGACTATAGGTACTTACAAAGAATACAAAATCTACTGAATTATTAATATTATCGATTATGCAATCGAACTATTGTACAGCCAAAATTTCTCTGTATGTAACATACTTTAGTGTCTTTAAAAACGTGACTAAAGTAAAGTCACGTGACGTTATACTACCGTGTCTCTTGATGTTTTTTAGATAATTTCTCAGAGCAAGCGAGATTTGTTTAAAAGAGAAAAAGAGAGAGGAATCGATAAAGAAAGAGTGAAGAGATTAATTGCGGATTTTAGCACACATAAGTTAAGAAAGTTTTATTAACTTGCCGAGTTTATCTTATCTTGTCTCGCCTGAAGTTATTATCCTATCAGAACTTTGTGTTTTCAAACTTTTAATATATTATGGCGGCATCATCAATCGAATCGCCTACCCTTTAGCACTCAATTTTCTGCAGCAAATATCACATAATAATTTTGTGTACGTGTATATTTCTCTATAAGGTCGGTGGCGCGCCTGCAGCGTTCTAATATTTAAAAAACCATCATCGCACGTGTAACGACGCGTGTAAATCACGCATGCAATATATATAACATGAAAATTCCCAGAAGATACATTAAGCCTTCCGACGCAACGCGAAAAACAAGAATAGAATTCCAACGTTGATTATCAGTCTGAGAAGAAGAGGGTGTTCCGTCGGCATGTAAACTGGAAGAAGTCAACAATCGCCAGTCGCTTCGTACAAAAACAGTTTCGCAAGTCTTCATCGGAGTATATTTCGTTGAGCTAAAAATGCAACCCTCTCCTTGTATACGTAAAGATATCTTCATTACGGTGAGATCAAATAAAAAAGTGTCATAAAAATTGCAGATATTTAGGACGATCGTATATAAAAAAAAAACTTGAATGCATACGTGACGCGGGGTTCTGTCCCACAATTTCGTTATTATAATCACTCGTAAAATTTACTTCTAATACAGAACGCGCGCATTATTCATCGACGTCATCTACTTCCCACCTCCTTCCTCTTCGCCCGCCCATTAGACTAAACGGCGCAGTGTATTTTTGACTTGTGGCGCTTTAAAGCTATTTCAAGACGAAGCTAAGTCAACCTTCTGCACCGTCACGATTCGTCGCTCCCGCTTTCTTCTCCAGTTTCTTTGAAGACTCCCTTTCCTTTTCCTCGAGCCGTTTCGTACGACGATGACTTGATGCTAATTATTTTCTTAGGAAGATAGATTGATTTCCGTGTCAAAAACAAATATCGGAGTATAAGAAAAAGAGAAGAGCTTTATTGCTCGTGTAAATCATATAAGTAATCCGTGAGCGGTTGAATAAATTTGCGCAAAATTGTTGGAAGGGTGGTCAAAGGAAAGATAGTCGCCCATCGTTCAGTGTGGTAGCTGAGGTAGTCAAGTGGAATTATAAATTTCAGAACAATTTCTCTCTCTCTCTCTCTCTTTACTCGTTTGTAGCCTGATGACATATTAATAAAATTTTCTTCACTTTCAGCAGTTAAAACTTTTTTAACGTTACTAGAATCTTTGTTACTGCTGAGAGGTTACAGATAAATTTATATAATTAAATTGTTTTTTTCATTTAACATTTAGAAATGCAAAATATGATAAGTATGAATCTGATCGATTTGAAATATATATTATACCGTAAATATTTATATATAGACACTCCCGCGGCAAGATACTTAAAACAAATAAATTTTTAATTACTTGTTTTTCGCAATTTGCGTTAAAAATCATCTTGTTCGAATTTACATACATATTGTTTCATATTTGATGTATCTATACTTAATGTAATGTAATATAACCGTATACATGTAACTGATATCATCGCACGTGCACAAAGGGACTGACCGAGATGAACAATAATCCTTCACAGGTCAGCGGAGTAATCTATAGGGCGACGAGACACACGCACAATCCAATCGTGGTGCGCCGCACTCGAAATTAGCTACTCCTAATTGCAAATGCCATTCGTTGTGGACGGTCGCTTCGAATTGCTTACTTCGCCATTAGTTCGCCAGATGCGCGAATTCGCGGCGAGTGCATCACTTCGATTCAACGCCCGGCACGATAAATTGCGAGAGAATCGACCGTTGCTCTCAATCGCGTCCAATTAAAACGATCGATCGCCAGCGCTGACAAGCGAACTGAATTTTCACGCTCGCCGAGCCAATCCTCTCGATTTTCTTCGTCAACAAATTGCCGACACTTCTTTCGCTTGGACGCGAAAATCGATTTTTAATTAAAGATGATTCGATGACGAATTACCGGGGCGCCGGCTGCGGAAAGTCGAGCGATCAAATCAAACTTATCATCGGCTTTTTGTTGACGATAATTATCAGCCACGCGATGGAGGATATTTATTTTCACGTTGAAAGAAGAGAGGGACACCGTCGCGGTGTCAAAAGTATTGCCGTGACAGAAATCTCATTTATCATTTCCTCACGAGCGCGGCGCCTTGCGTCGAATAACTTCTCGCAGATAACACGCTTGTCAATCAAGTGACGCTAGTAACACCGAGTATATTTGAGAAGGATGCTGAGAGATATAGAGTATATATATTTACTGGTACCTTATTATAATCCTGTCAGAACGCGATACGTGACGGGCGCATTGCAAGTCAAGTTGCAATGTTTCCTCACTAGTTTACAAGTGATAAAGTTCGCTGCTTCGACATACGCCAATAGAAAAGTTGGCGTAACACGCGTTAAATTCTCTCTTCAAAATTTTGCGCCATCTTCAATGACAATAATTAATGACAAAAAAATATCAATCGTTCCGTATATTTTGAAGAAATCAGCAAATCAAAAACTGACAAAACATTGCTTTCAAAATTCACGAAATACAGATTTATCGAGATTCTATCAATTTCAAATCGTTTAATGAGTGCAACGATATACTTGGATATGATAATTATGAACGTCATTATCGTCATTAATTATATATACTTGTAGTCTATATACTTATCGCCCATATTCTCTCTTGCACACATATGCACTTTACTAGTTCACTTTATTACGTATTTATATCATTCTTACGCTATATTTTTTAATAATGATACTGTTATACGCTGAAACACACAGTACATCTTGTGTTGCAATCAAGCGAGCACTTAGCCAAGGATTGAAACATTTAATTGCAAGGTAAACTAATGCACCTCATGTCAGTTTGGTCCTGCGGGACCTATTGATGCTAGCACACAGTGAAGCGTTATCGTGCGCATTGCGCGCACAAGTGGTACATCGTGTACACGTGGGTTTTGCATACAGACGCGGTCTTAAGTGCACGTACACGAAAGTCAATACACAAAGAAATAACTACACTCGTAACGTGTAAATACACTTACGTTCGGTCGACAGCTGTTTGCTTTATTTACTCTCTTGTCGTAAAACAAACTAGCGCGATTCTAATTCACGAAGAAAGCTGTAATTGAAGTATATTTTAAATACGCAATTTAAAATAAAAATACTTTAGATTAAAAACCTCACGCAATTTTCTCGAAAAAAATTATTGCGTTACTTTATATAGTTGTTTGCTCACTTTATCTTAAACTCATGTTCAAATTCCATTTTATCACTCTTGGCGTCATCTGTGTATAACTCACATTACTCACATTCAGGAAAGTTTACTTATCTTCTAATTACCGGCATCAGTCAGAAGCTTAAGAGCAAAATATTTATCCCTGTTTCCGAGCCGCGAACATTGCACTGTCGCAAGTTTTGTGCGTCGACATTACCTATACACACTAACTTCGTGATTAAAACTACTATCTTCACATGACTGATTTGGTTCTGTTCCGTGCTATGTGCGCGGAGAGAAAAATCTAAGAGCGGCTACAGACGCATCAACACCTCTAATAGCTTTTCCGCTCTCTAAGCCAACGCTAGATCTACAAGTAGTGCACATTGACAACTACGTAACTACGAAAGTTTTTGTTTGTCTAGCACAGCATAATCGAAAAAGTCAAAATCGAGAAAATGACTCCATGGCATCTTGCCTTTACTTCACTCCGATTTGTGCACATAGCACAGAATAGAACATGTTCACGTTTGAAGATAGCGTATGCACCGAC